ATATATATATATATATATATATATATATATATATATATATATATATATATATATATATATATATATATATATACCCAAGTATCTAACGGGGTCCTCGCTTCCGAGGAGCTCCTTGACGTTTATGAGGCCCGGCTCATATACGGGCTCCCCGTTTTTGTCCAACACAGGCCTACCTCCCTGACCAACTTGCTGGACCCGAGGGGTCCGAGCCACGAATGCAGTCAGGACAACAAAGCTCTCCAGATCCTCGTCTCTGAGCTCCCCCTATCATCAAACATAGGAGCCCAGTTCGCTATCAAAATGCTTCCTCGTCCATTGGAACGAGAACTTGTAAACCAGCTTCACAACGGGATCCCTTAGCTCGTTCAGACGGGGAGTACCATCCTCGTTTTTGGCCGGCACGATCCTGAAGATGTTCAACATCGCCTTGGTCGAAGAAGGCTGCACCAAAATGTATTTATCTTTGAAATGGCGGACAGACTCCAAATAGGATTTAAATAGATTCTCGTTGCCTTACTTCAGGGAAACCCATCCCTACTTTCTGTTGACCTTGATCCTCTGAAGGTGGAAGTAGTACAAGAACAAGGGAACTGTGGCCCCTATCTTCAAATGGTCGCAAACTATTTCGAACGCTCGCATGAACGCGTTTCCGTTCAGATGCAGTTGGGAGGGAGCCACACGCAAGTGCCTGAGTACAGCAACTTCGAAGTCAGAGAAGGGGAGGTGAAGACCCATCTCACGAAATACGATGTCGTACATTGGGATCTGCCTCCTATCGTATTTTGAGCAGATTCTGCTCTCTTTACCGGGGATGTGTAACAACCATTCCTCTTGGGCCCCCTCCTCGTCAGTGTACACGTCCGTAAAGACATCCTCCCGGCGCTCATAAAAATACGATGGCCAGTCCCAGGGGTCATTCGCGAACCAATCCCGAGGTTCCTCCTTGTTCCCAGGAGGAAACAGGTAACTCTGGTCAGCGAAAGTCATCTCCACGCTGCCCTTCCTCGTTTGCTGCTCCATTTGACTCTGCGCATCCCAAAAAATTTCCAGGATGCTTGATGAAATACTCGTCCCGTCTGAAGAACATCCTGAGGTCTGTATGGATTCGCTCGAAATATCGATTCGGGCACTGTCAGTCATAACACTTAAAAAGCATTGGAAAAAGATGAGCTCGACATAAATGCCAGAACCATCCTTCCACTGCTAAACAAGCGAAAGGGAACTGGGAAACGAGGATCGTATCCTCGACCAGAACCCTCACTGAGGCATATCAACAGGCAGGAGTTGCAGTAAAAGCCCTAATCCATAATGAGCCGCCTACGACACACCACGAGGTCCTCGAGGAGACCCCACGGCGGCTCCGGCGATTCTAAACTACATAAATGTCGTCTACTACCAACACTCTCCAACGACATCCTCGCAAACGGAACCCTAAATCCTAACCGCATGCATCTATAAAAAGTAAAAGGAGAAAATGAGAACTACTGAAAGCGAACAACAATGGAAGATTGGAAACTTACCAGTTAATAGAAGAAGAAAGGATGGAAGTAAGCAGCTGCGAGCAGAAAAACTCAACGAACAACGATGGCCGACAGTCGAGCTAATACGAGCATTTGAGAAAGAAGACGAAAAATACTAAACGCCATGTTCCTGTTGTATTTATAGCTGAAACAGTTCGCACGTATGAGACACGTGCCTGGGAAACCCTAGGGTCGACATTATTACACCATAGCCCCTAGGTCATCATTGTGTCGCTTTGCTAGCACACTTCCTGAAATACGCTGACTCTCCAAATTCAAGAGTCCTAACGACTAAATCCTCGTCTCCCCACAAGCTAGGCATAACGGGCAACACTCATTTCCCCGTAAGACACGCCCCGTTCCGCGAGGTGATGTTAAAGTCATCACTCCTGCACCCAGAAGCAATGACTTAGGGGGCTACTGTTCTGGACTGGCCCAACAACTTGACTGGACCCGGTCTAAGACATTTCCTTTAGTATGGCCCGCATGACCATGACCTGGATTGCCCGCTACCTGTCGAGCAATGTCAGCCATTTTCCCTTCCGAACCAGACTGGCTCAGGATGATCGACGAGCATCCTCTCAGTCTTCCCGACATCAAATTCGTACAGGCCACCAGGAACCGACCAGAGAGATGCCCATAACTGGCCTCCCTCTCAGAACCAACGGTTAGTTACGGGCACATCTGCCCGGTTTGACCAAGTCCTGACAGTTACCTGATTTTACAAACTCGCATATCTAGGCGTGAAATGAGGAACCAATGACCATGCGCTAGGTGAATTATATAAATCTCTACACCTGTGAGGGCCGAGTATCGAATATTCACTATTCACCACCTAATACTTTGCTTGTATCTCCTTGCTCCCACTCTTACTTGATCGTCGGAGTGCCTTGCAGGTACAACCTTTTTTTTCTCCTCGACATCACAGCCCGACTACAGATCATCTTCCGGCCACTTCTCAAGTTCTGATCAACCGGTAAGATCAATTACTTTTTTATATTTTTTTAGAAAATTTATTAACTTAATTAATTATAATTTATAAAAAAATTTAAAAAGCGATTAAAATCCCCAAAAAAATAGATGGACTAAAAACTAAATTTTAAAATAAAAGAGACTAAAATTTAAAAAATAAAAATAAAGAAATCAAAGTTATGAACTAATTTTATTATAAAAAAATAGGGCTAAATATGTTTTTCATCCTACTAAATATCTCATATTTAACTTTTAGTCTCTCTAAAAATTTCTTTCAAAGAATGACTACTAAAAAATTTAATTTTAACTTTTGGTTTCTCCTACAATTTAGCAATGATTTTTACAACTTAACAACATAATTAGCGACGGTTTTAGCGACAATTAAAAGTTAAAATTAATATTTTTTTTAAATCATCATTATTTGAAGAAATTTCTTAGAGGAATTAAAAATAAATATAAAATATTTAAGAGGACCAAAAATATATTTAACATTAAAAAATATTAACACTTAACAAAATGATAAAATTTGTGTAAAAAAAAACAACATGATAAAATTTTGTTATAAAATAGAAAAAAGGATGATGCACCGACAATATAAATTTTTTTATATTGTCAATAAATCACGATCATGTATTCCGCCAAACCACACTGTTATTTTTAAATTATTAATATAATATGACAAAATAATATTTTCTCATTGAATGACCGTGTAAAATTTGTTTACACTATCAGTGCATTTCTATTAATTCTATTATAAAATGAGAATGCACTGATAATTGTAAAATATTTTAAAGTGTCAACCAATGATAGACATGCATCACAATAAATCTCATTTTTATTTTTAAAATACTAAAATGATATGACAAATGTAAAAGTTTTGATTGGTTGCATGTGTAAAATTGTTTTACACTGACAGTGCACTATCTTTAAACTCATATAAAATAATACTATATGAATTTAAAAGTGGTGTTCTGACAATAAATTAATATTACTCATATAACTAATAAAAATTCTTATATTTATCATGTCATATTAGTATTTTAAAAACAAAAATATATTTTAATTAGGTGCGTGTTTTTTATTGTATAAAAATATTTTAGAATGTCTTTGCATATTCTTTTTTCTCATACAATATTTTAATTGGACCATTAATTAAAGCCAAAAAATATTTTTTTAAAACAATAGTAAAAAAAAGACAAAACATATGATAAACTCACAAGTTAACGTTGCATTTTGCACACGAGATTCGCTTGTTAGGGTTTTTGTTCTTTTTCTATTTGGTTGTTGATTTAACTTTAATGTTGCATTTTGCACACTAGATTCATTTGTATGGAGAAGATATCAATGGCTGCCACAAAGAAAAAGGTGAGCAAGTATGTACCTGATGACATTGTCTTCATGATTCTATCAAAACTGCCTATTAAATCTTTGAAACGATTCGAATGTGTTCGTAAATCATGGTCTCTCTTGATTGAAAATACTAGTTTCATGAACATGTTTCATAACAATTTATTATCTAATTTGTATTATTGTTCTTATTATGACCAAGCATCTCTCTTCATGCTGGTTCATGGACTAACAAGAAAAGATTATTTCTATTCTTTTTCTATAGAGAAGTTTGAGAGTAAAGTCAAATTAGATTTATCAAATCCATTTGAGGACCAAGAGGATTACCTTGAAAATATTTGTATTTTTGGTTTTAGTAATATTAATGGTACATTTTTTCTCTATCAAGATGGATCTTGCAAAATTGTTATATTATGGAACCCGAGTAGAGATGAATTCAACCACATTCCTCCAAGTCCGATTGAATCAACTCTCTCGAGGGATGCTAGGGTTATTTGTTATGTTGAATATTGTATTCATGGATTTGGTTATTACCTTAGTACATATTACTATAAGGTAATTCGTCTAGTATTCTTCCCCACCGGATGTATATGTAGACCCTATATGGGAGATATATAGCTTGAAAAGTAATTCCTGGAGAAAACTTGATCTGAACATGCCGCATTCTATTATGGGAACTAAGGATGCAAGACTCTATATGGATGGAATGTGTCATTGGTTGTGTCGACATCGTAGTAGTCCTTTTACACCATGTTTGACATCATTTTACTTGAGCAAAGAAGAGTTTTTTGTAACATCCATACCAGATGATTGTTTTGTTGTTGGAGAAAAAGAGGTATACTTGGCGATGTTAAATGAATTCATAGCTCTACTCGATATGATGGAAATGGTTTTCACATATCAATATTGGGTGAACTCGGTAGAAAAGAATCGTGGATTTTGCTCTTCGTTGTTGGGCCATTGTCTTGCATTTCACGTCCTATTAGAGTGGGGAACAAGGGAGAAATATTCTTCCAGACTAAAGATCGAAAAGTAGCTTTGTATGATTTGTGTACCCAAATGATTGAGAAGCTTGGTTATGAAGAAGAGGCTTGTAGTTTTCCTAGCCGAGTAATAGTTTACAAGGAAAGCATTCTTCCAATTGAAGGAATAAGTAGTTAATTGTTTTCTCTTGTTTTCTCTTTGTATTAGATATGTTGAGGTGTTCTTACTTGTGTCATGTGTTTTGTCACTACTATTTATTTTAGATGCATTTTATCAGAAGCTTGTCTTTTTTGGATTTAGTAATAGCCTAAGATGAGTTATGGAAATATTTTAAATGTTGTTGTGTGAGAAGCATTGTAGTTTTGTTACAGTTTGGTTAGCAATCCAAAATTGCGTTGAATTTTGTGTTATCTTTTTGCGAAGTTGTTAGTTATCTTGATTATCGTAAGAACGTAAGCTGATACTGATGTCAAAAGTTGTGAAGAAACAAATAATGTCAAAAGCTTGTGTATTAGAGCTAGAAGATGATTTCACAACCATGAAAGAACCAACTCCTATGCCACTTGAAGCCTGTAAAACAACACCAATGCATAACGCATCAGCCACTACAGCATCAACAACATGCCCACCAACATGTTAAATGATAATTTGTAATGTTTCATATTCCTAGGTTCCTTAAATTATCTAAGAGTCCATTCATGTATTTATAATTTCTAGAGAGAATCATTTAATACTGCTAGATGTTTTCATTTATCTACTAGAATTTTCTATGTGTAACACCCCAATTCTACCCCAAGCACTTATGCAAAATAAATCAGAGTTATAAAATTTCAATCATACAAATGAATCGGGACGTCACAAATTCTTCTAACGACATTCATTGCATTTATCGTGGATATATAACACTTTCAAAACATCGGATGAACCATCATAACATCTTTAATAAATAATTCAACATCTACGCAGCGGAATTCTTAATAACATCTCTAACAACAAAACAACAACTTTGAAACATCACATATTTAATAATAATCAACTTAAAGTTCAACAACTGAAAATCAACAGTCAAAAATCAGCAAGCGTTCATCCCCCCGAGTGTTACATATCAGAGCAATGACACCGACTCGAACTATTGAAGGTATACAGCCTTCACTCTCGATTACCTGCACGTTACCAACATAAGGACAACATTCAAACAGAAGGGGTGAGATATCTAACAATATAATAAAGCGCATGATAATTAATATATTAAATTAGATCAACAACATCACCACTTCTCATCTCATAATCAACAACAATCTCAACAATAATATACATTCATCAACATCAAAATACACTTCTTTATGAAATCATATAATGCGACTCAATACTATGCAAATGCATGTGGTACCATTGAAGCAGAACTCCCATCTCAAAAATTTGCCAATTAATAGAGGCATCAACAAGGCATAGCCTTCATCTCAAAATTTGCCAATCCAGACCATCTCAACGAGCATAAACTCCATCTCAAAAAAATGCAATGTATGCGACACAACCATGATTGTAATATCAACACCCAAGTTAACAACATCTCAAATCATCTCAAAACATCTCAAATTATCATCTCAAAAACTTCTCAAATTAGCATCTCAAACATCTCAAATAACCATCTCAAAACATCTCAAATCATCAAAATAATTCATCAAACATCATTTCTACATAAACGTCATTTGTTCATCACAAATTATCAAACACCACTTTATTAATAACATCTCACCAATAACTCAGGTGTATATTAATACTACATTAATCCATATTGTTATTCTGCAATTTTACATTGTTACTATCACTAATCCTACTGTCATGATTCGTACAGCAGTCTCTAAACATCTCACATTCATCATTCTGTTAAAAAATAAGCACAACGACCAACACGGGGAATAATTCTAAATCCTAAATTAGCTACTAGGATTACACTTCTTATTCATCATTTTAATCATCTAGAATAAAGTTCATCGCGTTAACTAATCAACGCTTCGAATGACATCTCAAACGGCATCTTAAAACTCAAGTTACATCAATTTAAAACTGAATCTGTCAAAAATCAGTCATCATGGGTCGACGCATAACCCTTGGGATCGACGCGTACTACTTCATCTGCACAACATGAGTCGACATATCCTCCTTATGGATCGACTCATCCTGGCCTCATACACAACATGTATCGACACATGCATCTCACCGATCGACTCATCCTGAGTCTTGCAACTCTCATGTATCGATGCCGGCCCTTTTTGTATCGACTCATCCTGAGTCTAACATCGCCCATGTATCGACGCATCAAGCTTGAGGTCGACACATACTGACCCTTCCTGCGTAATTCTGTGATTTCCTCTGTATTTTCACTACGGGAATCATATTACAACCCTACAAACCTTATTATAATCATGGTAATTCATCACCTAGCATTAACCTATAACACTACATCGGTTAAACAGCATCATGACATCATTATTCATCTAAAATTCATCAAATCTTCATCATACAACATCATATACATCCAATTCAAGAGTAAAACAGCAATCACCTCTAACCCCACATATCAAACATCATGAACCCAATTATAAAGTCAGAACCCCACCCTTACCTTGGATGGAAGGTTGCTCTACAAATTCCGGTTGGATTCACGTTCTTGTCGTCTTTCCACTTTTTCTAGCAGCTTCACGTTCTCTTCCAAATCCTTATTTATTTCTACTACTTCTTTCTTTCTATTCTTCTAACAAATAATATAATAACCCTATTATTGTATTATTCCTTATTGGGCTTAAAACCTACACCCCCCTTATAACTTCTACTCTCTCAAAATAAGCCCACATTGAATAATATTACACTTCTAATATTATTTCACCACATAATAATATAATACCTCTAATATATTATTTTTCCACTTAATCAAATAATTCCAATTTAATTATAACACATATTCATAAATATTCCAAAAATAATTTAATTAAATAATTAATTAAATTACGGGCGTTACAACTCTCCCCCACTTAGAATATTTTCGTCCTCGAAAATTCACCTCAATCAAACAATTCAGGATAGGAGTCTCGCATCTTGCTCTTCAACTCCCAAGTCATGATTTCACCAGCAGCTCCTAGCCAAACCACTTTAACCAAGGCAATCTCTTTGCCCCTCAGAGTCTTCATTTCACGATTCGTGATCCGTATAGGCATCGTCTCCATCGTAAGATTATCCTGTACTTGCACATCGTCCATACGAATCACATGAGATGGATCTGAAATATACTTCCGAAGTTATGACACATGAAACACATCATGTAATTTCGAAAGATTAGGCGGTAAAGCCACTATATAAGCAACATTCCCCACTCTCTCCGAAATCTGATACGGTCCAATAAAACGATAAGTGAGCTTCTTAGACTTCAATGCTCGCCCAACACCAGTCACAGGTGTAACTCTCAAAAACACATGATCACCAGCTTGAAATTCTAAATCCTTCCTTTGCTTGTCATGATAACTCTTCTGTCTACTTTGGGAAGCTTTCATCTTTTCTCGAATCAACTTCACCTTCTCAGTAGTCTCACGAACAAGTTTAGGTCCAAGTACTACACTTTCACCAGATTCATGCCAACATAGAGGAGTTCTACATCTTCGACCATACAACGCCTCAAAAGGTTCCATCCCAATACTAGAATGGTAACTGTTATTATAAGTGAACTCTATCAACGGGAGATAAGTATCCCACGAACCTCCCTGCTCGAGAACACATGCCCTCAACAAATATTCCAACGATTGAATCGTCCGTTCAGTCTGACCATCTGTCTGAGGATGATACGCTGAACTTAACCTCAACTTAGAACCCAACGCTTCTTGCAAACTCTTCCAAAAATCAGAAGTAAATCTTGGATCTCTATCTGACACGATGCACAAGGAACACCATGCAACTTCACAATCACACAAATATAAATCTCAGCCAACTTCGGCACTGGAAAAATGATGTTAATAGGAATAAAATGAGCTGACTTCGTAAGCCTATCAACAATCACCCAAATCGAATCATGTCCTCTTAAAGTATTAGGCAACCCCGTCACAAAGTCCATTGAAATGCTATCCCATTTCCATTCTGGAACTTCTAACGGTTGCATCAATCCTGCAGGCTTCTGATGTTCAACTTTCGACTTCTGACAAGTCAAACATGCATACACAAACCGAGCCACGTCACTCTTTATCCCAGGCCACCAAAACAAACCTTTTAAATCTTGATACATCTTCGTAGCTCCTGGATGAATACTCAACTTACTTCTATGACTCTCTTCAAGTATCACTTTCTTCATCTCAGCATTATCAGGAATACAAATCCGATTACGAAATCTCAACACACCTTGCTCATCTAGCTTAAAATCACTATTCTCAGATTGATCAATCACAACCATCAAATCTACCAGTTTCACGTCCAACTTCTGAGCTTCTCTGATACTGTCTAAAAATCATTATTAATCTTCAACATACCCAACGTAACACTGTGCGGAGTAACCTCGCAAACTAAGCTCATGTCTCTGAACTGCTCAATTAATTCCAACTCTTTAATCATCATTGCTGACATATGTAAAGTCTTTCGACTCAATGCATCAGCCACCACATTCGCCTTTCCTGGATGATAATTCAAACTGAAATCATAATCCTTTAACGATTCCAACCATCTTCGTTGCCTCATATTCAGCTCTTTCTGATCAAACAAATACTTCAAACTCTTATGGTCACTAAACACTTCAAATCTAGAACCATAAAGATAATGCCTCTAAATCTTCAACACAAAAACAACAGTAGCAAGCTCTAAATCATACGTAGGATAGTTCTTCTCATGAGTCCTCAACTGCCTTGACGCATAAGCAACTACCTTACCATTCTGCATAAGCACACCTCCTAAACCCATCTTAGAAGCATCACAATACACCACAAAAGGTTCTCCTGGATTAGGCAATGTCAAAATCGGAGCCGGCGTCAACCTCTTCTTCAATTCCGTAAAAATTTCTTCGCACTAAACATCCCATACAAACGCTCTACCTTTACAAGTAAACGGAAGTGACAACTTAGAAAACCCTTCGATAAACCTTCTATAATAACCAGCTAATCCCAAGAAGCTTCTAATCTCAGTAGCTGACTTTGGAGTTTCCC